TGACATAATTAAGGTGTAATCAATCTACTATCAAATTAAATTTATAGACTCCTTTCAATGCATGTGTATGATTAATTTGTTCACGTAATTCTTATAAACATATTAAAATTATTGTTATGCTACTTGATTGAGTCCATACTTAGTGATGATATTTCACTTTCAAATTTGTTTAATTCGACCTGTTTGAATCCGATTTAATACAATTTTTTTTTTTTAATATTGAAATATAAGTTCGTAGCAAATCGGATTCGAATTCACATAAAAAAAAATGAGTTATTCAAAATTGGTTCCGATTTGATTTTTTATTTTAAAAATTCATCTAATCTTGACTAACTATATATATATATATATATTAAATTTTTTATTGTTATAAATATATTTTTATTTATATTAGTAAATATAATAAGCTATATATATTAAAAGTAATATTTATATTGATAAACCTAATGTGATCTAAGAAATTAAAAAAGAAAATTGAAGCTCACTCTGATTTGAGACATAGTTTGAGTTCGAATTTGACAAAATCATCTTTCTCGAATTCGAGCTGTTTAAGTTCGGATTTGACAAAATCTTTCTCGAATCCGTCTTGTTTCCATCTCTATTCACAATAAAAGTAATAGTTAATCACGTGAAATTTTTTACGTTTAGATGAAAATATAATTTTCGAATATAAAAGTAATTGCAATTAAGAAGGTGGCCTAAGTCTTCTTTGACCATACAAAACAGGATATAATTTTGGTCATATACATACACTGTGGTCCATTAACATAAAATTTTCAAGCCTTTTGTGTAAATTAAATTGATGAATACGACAGACCATCTATTACAAATTGTATATTGACCATGAAAATTACAATAATAATAATTTATTATTTGAAAAATAACTATCACATAAATAAATTATATTTGTTCTCATATTACTACCAAATATTTCATTTCTCTCGTTATTTAAAAATATAGAATTAAATTATTTTCAAGACGATTTTAAATAAATAATTCTCTAAATTGGTCCTGTAAATTCAATTCAATTATAGAAGGAAATATATATTTTTTGCCAACTAAATTAACCATTGTAAGTATATAATAATTGTAGATTAAATATGATTATTATCGTATATTTTTTTGAATTAAGGAAATATATATGAGTAAACTTGTAGATTAATTTGATGGTTAAATTATTTGTTGAATTAGGGAAGTACATAATAATTTTTTTTCATAAATTTTTAGTATGATTGTTTTGATCAAAGTACAAATTAACTTAATTTTTTATGTATAAAAGCTTAGTAACTTGAATATTATATATATATATATATTATTATATAGACATCTAAACTTTAAAGGATAGCGATTTTATTTGTCATGATACGAAATTGTCCAAACGATAATGCAATTTGATATATTTAATTATTGTCATAAATATAAATAATTTGATATATTTAATTATTATCATATATTCCAAAAGCCTAAAGGTGGCTAAAACCATTGGACCCAAAAAATTCATTTTCATTTGTCCTTTTGTGTAATATGTATTTTTTTTTTTCAATTTACCTATAAAGAATCCATATTTTCCCATCAACTTTAAGACATTAGAACTAAAATATTTTTCCAATAGTTTTAATTTTTGTGGTGCTATTAACTCGAGCCACGGTGCCTCAAAGAAGATCTACGTGTACATAATATATGTACGTGTGTGTGTGTATATATCGGTAGAGTTGAAAGAATTATGTAAATATATGTATAGTATACTGTAATATTGATTTATATTGATGATATAATGATAACAGATAATAATGTGAGGATTAAGATCAAATATCTTGAAAACTTCATATTCTTCCTTTGAATTGGAGTAACATAGTTTAAGGATAGGATACAAGATTTGCAACATATTTATTTTTGAAAAATCATATTATTAGTAGCAAAGTCAATGAAAATTTATGTTTTCTTTATCCCGAAAAAATCTTAGCAAGTGATATCAGAACCTTTATTGATCATAAGTATGTGATAAAAAAAAATATATAGAGAGAAAATTAAGGGAGTTTCATACATCAAATAAGAGCTCAAACACTTTTTTTGGCTTCACCTCCCATTTTTACGGAAGAAAATTATCAATTACGCCATGTAAAAATACAAACATATTTACAATATTTTGATTTGTATAATGTGGTTGAAAATGATGGGATTTGGAGAGAAGTACTTCAAGGAATTTCGATGAGAAGTACATCAAATAATCGAAAATTGATTTTAAGTGTATCAATAATAAGAAGTTGGTGAAAAGTACATCAATAATTGAAAATAAGTGCTATAGAATATGAAGATCAAATAAGAAATATTGAAAAGAAGTGCTCCAACAAAATAAATTTAGTGATTATAATTTTTACATTAAGTGAGAGTGTCGAGAATAAATATAGAGATTATAATTTATTTTATTATTAGTTTAAATTCAAATAGAATTTATCTTTAGTTAAATTTATAACATGTTTATTTTTTTTAAAAAAATCTTGTTATTAATAGGAGTTTATCTTTTAGTAGATTTAATTTATATTTATTTCTTAAATAGTGGTATATCATTTTTAAGAAATTTGAATTCGATGTAAACTATTTAAAGACACTTTAAATTGTTAATTTGAACGTGAGTGAAGTCAATAGAAATTTATATTTTCTTCGTCATAAAAAAATTCCGACAACATCAAAGGTGCATCCCGAAATAAGATTGTTTTATCCAGATTCAAAATTATAGCTTACATGAAAAGCTTTTCGAGGTACTAAGATATGTGTTAGGATATTGTGTCTTTCTCGGATCATCTTCAATGTTTTGAAAATCGAAAAAATAGTATATGATGAATATACATATATATATATGTAAAAGTAAGGTTAAAAATATAATGCAAATGTTTGTGTCATATACAAATATAGCCGATTTTGTACCCTATATAAATACCCTTTTTCTTTTTTTTTTTGAGAATAAAGGTAAAAAGAAATAAGAAAAAGGAGAAGCCTCTTTAAGATTTTCTCAAAATTGCTGCCTCTTTTATTATTCCACTTCGTCTTCTTCATTCTTTTTTTTTTTTTTTACATAAATTATTTTAATATATCATTTAATTAAGGATACCATAAAATTAAATAAAATAATAGAAAATCTTAAGTTAAACTCCAAAAAATATAATAATCAAGAAATTAAAATAATATATAGTTATTATAAAATTATAAACAACTAATTAAACCCAATAACAATCTTAGCATTACTTATAGCGTGTGTAAATATTTTTATAATAAAATTAATTACTCAATATTTAACAAAGAAAAAGAAAAATTAAATAAAAACAAAAAAAAAAACAAAATCTGTGTAATTAATTACAAGCTAATTAAATTAATCTGGATTTATCTTCTACAGGATTTTCTTCTTTTACCTTTTTACCCCTCTGTATACATTGCATCTATTCAAGTCCCTACCCAGGAAAAAAGTCCTCCATGGCCTTTTTTGGAATTTCACGACCAAACCCAAAAGTTAGCCCAAAGAATTCCAGATATTTACACAAATACCCCGCTGCTTACTCCCCTCTTTTTCCTTACTGCCTGAACTCGAACATCGCCGGCTGAGTCGGGTACCGGAACCCGAATGGGTCTACCGAGTTCGTGAAATTCTGAGATAAAGCGTTCGAGTTCGGCTGCAGGAAACCCGAGTTATCGATTCTTTGAGATCTGAATCCACTTTGTACCTCCTCATCCACTGCGTTGCAGAGTTTGTTCACATGGGAAATAGGCGGCAACGAGGGAACAAACACGTCGGTGTCGGTGTAACTCGGGATACACTGACTCTGAGTGTGGTCACTCGGGACCACAGACGACACTGAGTTGAGCCCTGCGAGACTCGCCCAATCGAAATTTCCCGTACCCAGGTTGGGAATCACCCCTGTTTTGATGTCATCTTGTTGGAGAGTTCTCAGAGAGTTGATGCGTGGGATGGAGAAGAAACGGTCGTCGATCGCCGGCAATGATTCGAGCACGTCGTCTAGATGGGAAGAAGACGAAGACGACGAGCCATTGTTACTGTACTCCTTGCTCGAAATATTCGACAGCATAGGCTTTTGAGAACTCGCGTTCTTCTTGTATATGCGACACAGAACCCAATCATCTAACTGCAAAAGACACCGCGTCAACTCACCACTCGCGCTCAACATCAAAAAACGTGATAAATAATTCATGAGTTTCCGTAAATTCGTACCTTGGAGCTTCCATTTTTACGAGACGACTCAATGAGTCGATACTCGTGCATAATCCAATTCGTTTTGGTTCCTTTCGGAGCTTTGCCGACATAAAAGACTAGAGCTTTCTTGATACCAACTCTCCGTCCCTCCGTCGTGATGATCTTGTCAGTACCCGTCGCCTTCCAGTACCCGGACCCGGCAACTCTATTGGGTCGGGACCCGTTTGGGTATTTCCGATCTCTGGGACTGAAAAAATACCACTCCTTCTCGCCGAATATGGCTTTACCTGTCAAAATATCAAACGAATTCTATTTACCAAACCAAACCCAGAGAAGATAAAATCGGAAGAAATTCAAAATTGGCAATGGTTGAGGGTTCCTTACTGGGTAAAACCCACGGGTCAAACTTGTACAGATCTATCTCCGCAATAATCTGAAGAGAAAACTGCTGACCGGCGACTTTCCGACAGAGATACTGAACCAGAAGTTCTTCATCAGTGGGGTAAAACCGGAAACCTGGAGGTAAGCTCAATTGAGCTAAAGGGTCCATCTGCTGCACACCCATTTTCGGAGATCCGAATCCGATTAAAGGTTCGTAGTTGGCCAATTGTTTTTACAGCGGAAATTGAGTTGTATATTTCTTTTCTTTTCTTTTTTTCTTTGAAAGGTGAAATTGGGGAGGTATTTATAGAGGAAGAAGATGGGCGGGGCACGTGTCGTAAGTTGGGATTGTGCCACGTGCAGATTCTGGAGTCTTTGAGTTGGCAGTACAGTGCCCAATTGAAATATTTGAATGGCTATTAATTTTGAATTAAATTAAATTAAATTAAATTAAATTAGATTAAATGAAGATTCTTGAAGCAGCTTTTCTTTATATACTACAAGATAAGTTTTCACACGTACAATAATTTTATTTCTTATTTAATTAAAAACAATTATTTATATTTAGATAACTACTGGAAATTAATTATTATAATTAAATATTTATTAATTTTAATTAAGAGCAAAAAATTTTTTTTTAAAAAAAAAAAGAAAAAAGAAATGTTTAATAGCCGTTGTTCACGCGTGGATGACAAGAACGACGTCGTGTACGGTCGACATAGGATGGACACGTGGCGAGAGGCGTGGAGAATTTTTGTTATGACGGCAAAGCGGGTGATAGAGAAATGTGCATGCACCCATAAGTAACGCAGTTTCGTGCCACGTTAGTGACTTTCGTTTTCTTTTTTTGTATTTTTCTTTAAATTATTTTATTATTTTTTTAAATTTTGGTACAACTTTTGATTAGGTTTCTTTCACTCAAGAACTTCTATGAAATTATGTGTTTTTTTTTTTTTTTGGTCGTATTGAGGAAGTGAAATGGGTATAAATTCCTTCTTTATTTTATATATATACATATGTACATATTTAATTTTTATGTATAAAAAAATTGGGATCGTAGACGTGGAGAAATCTTGTAGAAATTAGATGTGGAAATTTGGGTCTTGTTCGGTAGGTCAAAAAGGGCACGTAGATAACATTTGGTCACGTAGCGTATGTTGACAATATAGAATTATGTGTTTGTATTTTTAGTATACGTTCACATGTAACAATAGTGTAAGACCCTTTAGATATGAAGTTGTAAAAGTTGCAAAGTATCAAAACTCAAATCCCATTTATTTGTAGCATGTCTTTGTAAAAAGTAAAATTAAAGTAATAAATATATTGTATTAAAATATTAAATATATACAAGATTTGTAATTTTCAGTTCCTAATTTTATAAAAAAAAAAAAAATATATGCTTATCCGAATGTCATCTCTATGATTTAGAGATACTCTCATTAGACACTTATAATTGGAGAAAGTCAAAGGTCAATTGTCAAAAAAAGATACATGCATTATTAAATACATTATACCAAAAGCGTAAAGAAATAATAAAAAGGAAAAAAAAAATATATATATAGATATATTGTACGATGGAGTTGTATCTACATGTCAACTGCAGACGTGAAGTTCATGGGAGTAAGTTGGATTTATGCCACGTGCAGATATGACGTGTTTGAGTTGGCGTTACCCAATTGAATATTTTTTTTTTTGAATTTTATCAAAAAGTAAAATCCACCTGTCCAAAAAAACTATTATTTATTAAATAAAAATAGAAAGAAATTTGAAGATTCTTCACCAACTTTTTCTTTATACTACAAGATAAGTTTTCTATCTTCGGCACGTGTGTTTGCACGTATACTTTTTTATTATATTTTTATTTTTATAGTTTCTTTGACTTTTCTATTATTAATAATTAGTGTTTTTCTTTTTTTTTTCTTTAATAAAAAAATTAACTAATATATCGAGGTGGGTAAGATTCACTTACTATTTTAATATATAAATTATTCGTTATGTTATAATTAAATTTTAAGAATTTTTTATTATAATTTAATTCTTAATATTTTATGTAAAATTATTTTAATTCCTTAATTTTTTTATCTAACTAATAATATTTTAATTAATTAATATATATATTTTTTAATTTTATCGATATTGTTAAAAAAATTAGTATTAATCTTAACGTAAAAATAACAAAAAAACATAATTATTTTTCTGACAACTAAGAACAATCTTTAATTGTTATTCCCATTGAATATATATATATATATATATTTTCAGATAATATTAAAGTTTCGGATAATCTTCACATCCCAAAACTCAAATCTTTTCATGGTTTAATTCAGCGTGAATAAGAGAGTAGTAATATGTATATTACTAAATATTTTACTCTTTTAAATTCACTAAGAGTCGTATTTTTTTACAAAAAAAAGTATTGTTGAAGTTTTTAATTTTATACAACAGATATATTAATAATTTTTTTATTTAATTTTAAATTACGATGATTTTTAAAAAGGAAAGTTTATGTGAACAAAACATGCAATCCTCTAATAGTATATACGTGATTAGTTATATTATTTCATGAGAGCACACGTTATCTCGTGGTCCTACATTATCTCAACCTTTCATCTTCATTTATGAACTAATTAATTTAAGATAAATTTGTTGCTTATATGATTTTGATTCGTTTATAATATAAGTGATAAGATTATATGATTTCGATAAATTTTATCTCTTAATTATTGTTGTTCTTACTCATTAATTATAATTTCAAAAGTGGATTATAATTGTGATTTTGAATTCTAATTGTTTCCTAAAATTAATTAATTTAACAAATGGAAGTCGACCACCCACATAAAAAAAAAATGTTAATTAAATCTTGGATTAGTATTAATGAAAATGAAATAAGGGGAAATTTATATAGACTTTGACAAAAAATGTGAATATATATATATATGTATATATAGAAATTATGACCTCTTTATTTCAATTCAATTCTTGAAATATCTTGACTTATAAATTCTAGTTTGTCCCAATTATTTTCAAAAATTAAAAAATTATTTTAGAATTAGAACCCATGTATGTATATGAACAGCCAAGCTAGCCAGCTATAGGTTCCTATACATATGCATGTATAGTGGAATTAGAAATTAGTATTCTTATACACACACACACACACACACACATATATATATATATATATATATTAGAAAATTGAATGATTTTGTTGTAAGGCTGCGTTGGATTGTTGAATTTTATTTCTGAATTTGAATTTTCAATACTAAAAATAAAGAAAAAAATGAGATAAATATTCTTCATAGGAACAGAGAAATTAGGTGTAATATTAATGGACCGACTTTAAATTTCAAAGTTTTTGTTTGTTATAATATGCTGTCTATCCCTCATTTTTTGACTTTGCAAAATATCTCTATGGTGCTTATCCATTCTTTCTGTCTGCATACCCACTAAGACGTACATACACACACACACACACACACACATACGTACATACACTTTCCAATTTTAAGTCAAGAAAAATATCATTAAAGCTAATGATATTATAATTTTGTTTTAGATACTTATATTATTTGTATTATATTTTTTTACATGCCGTCAATCACTCATTTATTTATATATAATATTATGTATAGGTAATATTTTTAAGCTTTGGTTAGTGAACTTTACCTACTCTACTTTGGATGCTCTTGACTTTACTACAGGTGTTGCTTGGATTCAAATAAAAGGCCTAACTTTAGGCATGATATTTAGTCTAATGCTTTTCAAATTGTCGAACTCTTTAGCATCCCCTTTGATACAAAACTAACAAGAGATTATGGGAATTGCGTAAACTATACCATGCAGAAAATAAAACTTAATCTTATCATCCCTTTTATCACTGGGTTCCTTCTTGTCATGCCTTAGGAGAGGAGTATTGAGTCATCTTTTAGTATGAACGACGTTCAGACTTACGCTATAGTTGCAATGAACTACATTTGTCATAAGAAGATGCCCATTTACCTAGTTTAACCATTTTTATTATCCTTAAAGATAAAAATTTCAAACCCATGGTCCATCGATGAAAACTAGATACCATGCATAGAAATGTGTTAGAAGCTTGAGAAATTAGAAAATTACTCTAGCAATTCGTCCAATCCACTTCCCCTATATAATTGGCAACCCTATAATCTCTATTCACTGTTTGGTCCTCTACAATGGCCCATTTATGCTATGTATTTAATCTTACATGCTCCTATATTAATTGTAAACTCCATCTCTTGAGGAAATATCTAAAGAGCTATTTAGGCTATTTCTTCCTCCTCTCCACCATTCCCTAGTTGTTGCTACCTTACTCTTTATCCCTGCAAATACATTATCATCTTCACTTGTTTTATCCATAGAATCATTATTTTCCCTTACTTCACCTTACATGCCTATGATCCCCATTGCTGACCCTCAACCTTCACTGTAGGTATCATTATTTATCCCTATCACTTGAGGCAATAAACAAGACGTGTATAAGGTGTATATGGGCTAAGTCCTGGATCATATCAATCTATTTGCTTTCCCAATCCCAAATCTATTGCAAAATAATCAATCACGATGTAAAGAATTTAGCACAACCAAAATTTTAACTTAAAACATCCCTTATATTAAACACAACCTTTTAGTTCCTGAACAACCTTACCCTGTAGACTGGCGATAGCAATGAGGCAAGTTCATGGTGTGTTTTACCAAATCCAAATCTGATTCGCCCCGCGACAAATAAACTCAAACCTTGATCGAAGTTGGGTGCATTTGATTTCGAATTACTTTTTAAACTTTCAAAAATGATTTAAGTACTTTACTTTTTTTTGTTAGAAAATGAAATAAAACTGAATATTTAAAAATAAATAAAAAATATCAGAGATTAACTTACAATAAAAAATTAAAAAATAATTTATAATAAGCACCAAATTTTATGAACTAATGTGGTAATTTGTCTTAAAAAGAGGCAAAAAGTCATAACAGCAAAAAGACTTTTTTGGATAGGTTTTGGTGGAAGGAAAGAAGATAGGAAATTAGATAAAAAATAGACTAAAAGAGGGGGTTTTTGAGTTTAAAGAGAAAAAGAAAGCTATTTGCCA